AAGTATAATAATGATTATTTTTGTTTTAAATAAGTTAACTTGTCCTCCCTTCATTAGAGATACACACACTGCCATAATGCATCGGAGTACAGTATTTGAAAATGAGATAAATGCATTGCTTGATCTAATATGTAGCTTGAGACATCAAGCTGATCATTCAGTATTCTAATTCTTTACTAGGAATGTTGACAGTATTCAGCTATTCACATATCATATTTCAGCATTTGTCTTTTTAAAATGCTAGTTATTGTCTAAATGTCTATGGGTGGGTGGGTGTGTGTGTGTGTGTGTGTTTGTTTGTGTGTGCATGTGTGTGTTTGTGTGTACAGTATATACATTATTTAAAATATTTGAATGTTGGTTTCTTTAAAGCTAAATCTCAAATTTATGAAATACAGTATTGAAATTCAAAAATCTTGCTGAAATAAGCAATATCACTACATTACATAATGTAGCTTCACCTCAGGAGCATAATAATTCAGTATTTTCAGTATACCTGTAGTGAGGAAATGATGCAAAGCATTACAACATAACTTATGGTAAATGAAACCTTCTACAGTTAGCTGCATACTATGCAGTAGCTCCTGTGCATAGTAGTTCCTAAGTCCCTTATAGTTGTGTATATGTGTTCTACGGTGCTGTCTTCCTGCAGATTTTTCCTGAACCACCGGTGTCTATTTTTAGTGTGTTCTATCTGTATTGTGCCGTGGTAACATATTCATGTTTATGTTCTTGAAATTTCTCAAGAGCTTGTGCTTATTCCAATAAAGATAATATAAATATTTTACTATGAGTCTAAACAAAAATCCTGTCTCATGGTTTTCATCGGATGAGAATATTTTGTAATGAGCTGTTGCAAAGGCTGTATTAATTTTGAATACAAATTTTGTTTGTGGTACTTTCATAAAGCTAAGCATATTCCTTTATGCCTGTTGTAAACACCCAATTGGTTGACATGTACCTAGACCAAAGGGACAGATAAGCTGGTTAATAACCCAACCCATGCATGAAATGAAAGTAACAATGTTTTGGTTCATTCTGGACCCCTCATCATGTCGTGATACGGATCCAGGATTGACTGAAATATCATCACTTTAATTTCATTTTGTATATTTGAGTTGGGCTATTTATTTCAGCAATGTTATTGTGACTTATTTTTAAGCATTAGTTAGTTGTCTCATTCAGTCATAGTAACTGACGGGACACCACAAGCGTAGCTCTCATCTTGTAACCACACTAGGGTAATTTCACTTATGTGATTATGGCTGCTTCATAAACATGAGATACCATTTACTGCATAAACAGCTGTCTATCTGTCCCCTAATACTAATAAAAGAAATGATTGCAAAGAATTTATTATAACTTGTATATATGTATACAATTATAACTTGTATATATATATATATATATATACACACACACACAAGGCATCCCCAGGTGCTAAATGCAGTATTCTCTTCTCCAATGCAATGGGTCCCTGTTAATACAACCTAAAATTTATATACAATACTGTATATTTTATAGATATGAATGGCAGTAACTGTGGACATAAAATATAACCAATATACAGTACTGTAATTTCGTAAATATTTATTGTAAACTCCACATAGTTGTGGAATATACACGCACATATCTGAATGTTCAGTACGACATATGTTAAGCTTTTATTGCCGTAAATTCCACATTTCTTTGAATTTGTTTCACTTAAAATATATGCAGTAATCCAATAACACAAGTTTTAAATTTTTTGTTCCATGTAGTTTTTTTTAAATTACTGTATAAATATAAATAGAATTTATATATTTCTCCCATTTGAATTTAAAAAAGATAATGCTTTAACAAAAGGAAATTTCATATTACTGTATATTGAAAGGGTGCCTATGTTAGAGATTCCTGTGGCATTGTAACTGATCATAAATATTCAAGAGGGGATAAGTTATCAATCGAAAATCGGGAATTAAATTCTTGTGACGTCTATTGCATGTCTTCATTCTCACATACACAAATGTGGCCCTATGCACACAAGTGTATCGATATGAAATTTGAATTAAGATCACTGTAGAAACGAGGCGATTTCAATATTTTAAGATTTTTTTTATCGGAATTAAGCCCCTTTGCATCCTCCCTAAGCTAAATCCCATGAGTTCTTCTTGGGATGCCTATCACCAGCCAGAATCTTGTCTACCTTCTGACAAGGAACGTGACAAGGAACTCTTCAAGTGGCCTTGTCACATGGGGTAGGGAGATATTGGCGAGTCTAACTCAAGCAACAACTGATGGACCAGCTCGCTGTAATATAAAAGGCTTTTACAATTTCTTTGTCACAGTGGGGGACAATGTTGAACAGAGCCTGGTGGGTGCAATGAGCCTCAGGTGAACCACACGGGCTCTGACTTGGTTAGCATCCAAAAGACTCGCTAGCAAAAGGGGTGTTTTAGTATGCTCTCTTTAGGTTGTTATTGTATTGTTATTTTTAAATGTTTTATCTTGTGAATAAATACAAATGTTTTAAATATGGTTGTTCTTATGAAATAAATTTCAGTTTCTAAATTCGATTCAAATTAGTGAGGCTCACTTGCACCAAAAACATGTACAAATTTTTCTATTCAGTACTGTATTCATACACACTCGTTAAGAGAACCTTATCGCTTCAGGAAGTTGATCAACCACTCGGACTGGATGGTAGAGTGACAGTCTCACTCCTTGCAGGTTGGTGTTCAATCTCCGACAGTCTGAGTGGTTGGGCATCATCCGTTTGCTTCGTGGTATCCTAAATCCTTATATTCATTTCTCTTTCAAGCACTGTATAGTCATAGTGGCTTAGTGCTTTCTCCTGATAATTACCTTTCCTTCAGGAAGTTGGTGTCAAAGAGGTAGAGTCTTGGAGCTTAAACATGCTCCTTTCAAACATAACTTGGCAAGTACAAAATTGAGAATAGATGCACATACACACACATATATATATTTATAAGTAACCACAAAGAAGAAGCAAATAAGAAAAAACTGAGAATTATTTTGTGTATTATCACATTTTCAAGCCATATGCAGTGCACATCTTGAAAATGTGTTAGTAAACAGAGGTGTTCAGATTTCTTGCTTCCTTTCCTTCTGTTTGTTTATACTTAATCACATGTATTTGTGTTTATTCTTAAGTTCACACGGGCACATTGACATGTATATTCATATACAGTATATACAGTATAGGAAACACTTGCCAAATATCACTGGTCAGTGACGGTAAGAGGCAGGTGAGCTGGGAACCATTAGCAGACCTTGTCACTAACTTGTTTGATTGTTTTCCTCGCTACACAACTGAAATGTTTCCTTAATCTAAACAAGTTGGTTTTAGAAACTAATAGCATGGTTTTCCAGTAATACAGTAACTGTATTAACTTAATTCTCATATAATGATATATTTGTTTGAGTCATAATTTGCATATAATGTTTTTAAGTGTCATAAGATGGTATTGTCAGTTTTATCCCATTTTTCCCTGTTGTAGAAAAGCTATGTATATAGTACAGCTTAACCCTTAAGCAGCTCAAGTAATTAAGTCTTACATCATGGTGCATATGACAGAAAATTTCACAAAACTAATGTAAACAAAATTGCATTTGGCAATTCGAGCACCAGGAGGTAAGTGCTGAGAGATTGGAGCCGTTTAAGAGTTAATGATTATACCGTTTCTTATTACAGATACAGTACCACCAACCTTAATGTACAGTATTAAGTGTTGGAGATGAATTCATTTTTTTATGGTACTTATTTTCTTATTTAAAAAGTTCATTAATAACTGCCCATTGAGATCACTATCATCTTATAACAATTAAATCTTAGTGTAATTATACTGATTTTAATATCTGCTTTAAGAATTGCAAATTTATTCTAAAATAACAAATTATGTGCTTGTGTAACATAAATGAGTATTTAGAATTCCACAACAAATACTTTGATGCTGTTCAGTCTGTTGACATAATAAGATGCAGACATTTACAATTATTGAAGTGTTCGTCGCAGATTACATGAGTTACTGCACACGAGTGCAGGACATAATCGACCACATACAGGATGAGAAGTGAAGATTTAACCACATGTCAACACACTGAACCTGTTCTGCTTCTTGGAGAGAACTGGCATTGCTAGTGATTTTCAAGGCAATTGTACGAAATAAATCAAATTATTATAGACAGCATGTTTTGTTATGTTTCTGCTGGGAAAAATGTTTACTCTTAAGTAATATCTTAAAAGATGTGAAAGTTTGTTACAGTATCAGTATGTAAATGAATACTGTATTTAATTTCACCTTATATCTGAACATCAACTAACCACAGCATCACCGATTAAAGAATTCCATGTTGAGAATCGTACCGAATATTATATTAAAATGATAATTGCCTCTATCTCCTTGCCTAACAGTGTCACACTTAGTGTGGTTTTCTTCTCTAGTGTCATTGTTGTGTGGCTTGAATCAACCCTTATGTTCCATGTTGTGTGAGCTATGACATCAGTGGACATGTGTTTACTTGAGTCAACCTTTTTGTTCCATGTTGTGTGAGCTATGACATCAGTGGACATGTGTTTACTTGAGTCAACCTATTTGTTCCATGTTGTGTGAGCTACAACATCAGTGGACATGTATGGATTGACTCAACCCTTGTGTTCCATGTTGTGAGAGCTATGACATCAGTGGAATAAAGGGAATTGTCTAATTTGAGTTGCTTTATTATTTGTAATCTTATAGAAAGTCTTTTACATTTAGTGGCCAGAAAGTTTATCTCTTAGAACTTACGTTTGATGTTTTTGTCCAGACTTATAATGCAGTAGGTAGGTATTCTCTGCATACTTCTTTCTCTTTCAGGTAGTCAAATTTTTGTTTGAAATAATATTACTGCCACTAGAACAGATTTAAAGTCAAGTGTTTGTGTAGTATATCTGAAATGCACCCACAAAAATAATGTTATTTTATATTGCTTTTCTAATTCTTTTACGTTGTTGACATCAGGTTATGGTGACCAATGTAACTTCACTCCTCAAGACGGTGAAGGCTGTGGAAGATGAACACACACGCGGCACAAGAGCTCTGGAGGCCACAATTGAGGCTATTGCACAAGAAATTAGGGTAAGCCTTCCTTTGTCATTTTCATATATGTGCTTGGTTACTGAAGAAGGATAGAAAATGGATTACTTGTGTGGTAAAGTTATACCAAAAGTAGCTATACTGTACTGTGATTTTTGTTGCAATAAATAAGTTTCAAGAAGGAATTTTGCACTTATTCTCTTTAGGAACTAAAGACTGGGTCTTGGGGGGAATGTAGATCCTATCATTTCTCCATGGTCCCTCTCTTTTTCTTTTTATTGCTCAATTCCTTCCATGGTACAGTTAGTCAGGTTCCTGCAGGAAATGAGACCAACTGGGTTGCAATGTATATGTGGACCTGCATGCCACTCCAAGCAACAGCATTTTATATCCTGTTATTATAAGACATACCTGGTCTCAGGCCAGGCTTTGGACAGCTCTCAGCACCTATTCTAGGTAAACTCCAGGCATGGTACTCTTGCATAAGGATGCTACCAAGTGTTGCTGAACAGAAATAAGGCTTTAGGTATAGGTAAAACTTTACATATATCCATGTTGTGCCAATGGAAAATGTCACCCTTCCCTGACTGTGCTTAGTCCTGTCCATGGAAACAACTGAACTTTGCTTAAGGTTAGCAACCGAGTCCCAAGCTCGGTAAGGAGCTGTTTATCTAGTGAAGAGCACAACATGTTGGAACTATAGAGAAACACCTTGAAGAGAGATTTTAATAGTGGATGAAAGTTCACCTGAAAGGTCTACATTGAAATATGCTTATGTGTATTTTTTTTTTACTTGCAGGCCTTTGATTCTGATGAAGCACCCAAAACAAAGGCAACTCCTGAAGACCTGGTGAGATGCACAAAACCCATAACTCATGCCACAGCCAAGGCTGTGGGGGCTGGCAACAGCCTCAAACAAGAGGACGTCATTGTTGCTGCCAATATGGGTCGCAAAGCTATCTCTGACATGCTCACCACCTGTAAGGTACAGTACTTACCAATTACCTGGTGGGGCCATTCCCAGTCCTACCTGATTTCACAATAAAACCTTCGGTTAAAATCTAGTTTTTATTACTTTTGATTTCCCAGGTCTTCTCATTCATACTTCAGATTGCTTCAATTTTGACACATTTAATACAGTAAAAAGAAAATTAGGTTAAATATAGCATGTTTGGGAACCTTTATTATGCTTAGCATTTCAGGCAGGACTAAGGCAAACAAATAAATAATTTAATTAGGATAATAAATACGAGTGAATGATATACATTGAAATTCCACAATGTTATACAGCAGTATGAGGAATGTGTGTACAAAGTTGTATGGTGTGTGTGTGTTGCACTGAATATAGTAGCTAATGAGTACAAATGAGTATGTTGTATATTGGCATAAAGTTAGTGTCTTGTGAGTGTCATGCCACAAATACACTGTTTACATATAATGGCTGTTGTATTGAGTGGTTGCCTACTTAACACTATTGAAGGAGTTTCTCTTTTTAAACTTCAGTATAATGTCGTGTACACAGCATCAATGTTTGCTACTTCTGATAATTAATGTTTAAGTAATATTGTTCACATAAACACACGATAAAGTTTTTGGAATTTACTTCCCAAACTACAGATATATTACATTGTGGCAAAAGTACATTTTCTTGTGACTTTTCAGGCTGCTGCATGGTGTGCCGAAACCATTGAACTCAGGTCAAAGGTAATGACCTCTGGCCACGATTTGGCCGTACAGTACCGAGAGCTGCTGCAGATGGTAATGCATCTTCTGCACAAGTCGAGCCCTGAAGCTAGGAATGCTCTGAGCACAGTGTCTCGCAAGATTGCCCAGTGTGTCACAGACTTGGTGGCCACAACCGAACCACTTAAGGGTGAGACTTTTGTTTTAATTCACTTTGTATTGGCTTGTTGGATGATGTGAATAATTAGGTATGGTTTGATTTGGCCTGCAATATGCTGTTGGCTTTTTTTTACATATATCTTTAAAATCACATGAGGTTGAGATCACAAAATATAAGAACTAGGAGTTGGATTGCTTTTTGCCTGTATAAGGGAGTATAAGTAAACTTTGACTGGTGGATGGGTTTTGGGGCTCCACAGTTGTGCCACGTTAAACTGACAAGCTGATGAAACAGTTGTCTCATGCATGTTTGGCATTGGTTTTTGGCATGGTTTATAAAGGAATATGATGAAACTTTGCATTGTTGATAGTTTGCATTGTAGTAAAATCACATTAGTCAACTCAGGAAATGGAAGACTTTATGATTTTTAAATAGTCTAATAAGAATGAGATTAAAAAGGGAAAAGTACAAGAAGGATGTCGAGTGCATAGTGTTCCACGTCACAGTCACTCGTGTCACGAGACAAAAGGTCGAGTTGAGATTCCAATTATTTTGAGAATATTAAAGGGTTTAATTGAGCATTAACTGAAAATTCCATTAAAAGTTGTGAAAGTCTATTAAAAATTTGGTTTACACTTTTAAATGCAACTATAATTAACATAAAATTTGAGCCTAAGGTTCTACTGTCTGCCATATATATCTGATTTTGGAATTCAAAGCATCTGTTTGTTTACCATATGGTTTGAATTATAGTTACCATTCATTCATTCATTATCATCACTGTTTCCCATTTTCATGGGGGTGGAGTGGCATCAACCCAGAGGAAAAAGGTGAATAATATTCTGTAGTGAAAGAAGGTTATAGATTTTGAAAAAAATAAATATCATTCATCACCCATTTGTTACATCTTTTTGCACTGCGTATATATAGCACGAGTGATGAACAAGCACCACCTCCCTCCAGCAGTCATCCACAGCAACACTTCACTGCTTCATGAGACAAGGCGTACAGTGCTCCTCATACATTTTTTTATTTAGTACAAAGAAATTGGCTTCCTCTTTATAAACTACTTTCACCAAGCCTTGTCACCTATCATATCCCATGCATTGTTCACACTCAGTCTCCGCTTCCTCGGCCCAGGAGGCCTGGTCAAGGACTGGGCCGCGGGGACATTGAGCCTCGTCACAGTCATCTCAAGGTAACCTCTCACACTTAAAACATTCTCTCATCATCTTTGTGGCCTTCACTTCCTCCTCTTCTTTTCCAATCACTTGAATATTTTCTCCTCACTAGTCTATCATCATTTATTCACTCAACATTTCTAAACAATCACTGTATGCACTGGTCCACATGAGGCAGCTGCTATTGGCCCACACGAGGCAGCTGCTATTAGCCCATATGAGGCAGTTTCTATTGGCCTAAATAGTATACATCTGATCTTGTGAAGTCGGGTTTGCTGCTGCTGTAGATAATTGGGGTGGTGTGTGCATGTGTGTGTTCACCCTTAATGCTATATTATGATCAAGTGCTATCTTTAATTATACTGTATACAAATTCTTTTACTACATTCCTTCCCTTTCTGAATGTGTCATTTGGTTGATGCCATAAATATTTCACGGGTTGTGTGCCAAGAAAGTATGTGACCTTAGTTTAGGAAGAGAACATAAGATACAGACAACACAGGGACCTATAGCTTCCCTGCAGGGTTATATAAGGTACTGTACTTACAAGTCCCTGGAGATTGTTGATCCAGCACTGGAATAAGAGGGGGGGAAAGGCCTATGATAGGCCCATAGCCTCTGACATAGGCAGACAAAGATTGCTGTAGGCACAGCAACCCAATTTCATTCACCACCTGGTGGCAGTTGAGGATGGCGGAGGGATGTATTCAATTGCGTGTTATGTTTTACAGAATTATTGATGACCATAAAGTATTGTCACCGGGAATCTTAAAGGATTGAGCCTGGAAACTGGCCGATAGGCCGCTGTCGATTCCTGTGCTTGTTAAATACTGTCTCTTGTGACTCATGAGTATTTTTCATGAATTAGCATGGAAAAAAGAAGCCCTGTGTCATAGGTTCTGTATGTTCTCTTACCTGACTGAAGTCATGCAGCATCTTGACATACATTGTAATAACTATGGCAGTAGCAGAATAACACACTTGGAAATCAACTTTTCATAAACTCAAATCGTCATTTTTGTTCCTCTGGCTTAATGCTTCTCCACCATAAGAAAGTGGGTAATATGATAATGATGTAACCTACATTTTGGTGGTTAAAGTAAATGGGAATTACCTTGATTATTACTTGTTAAATATTTACATTATTTGCCAGCAGATAGGATTCACATTTTTGGTCCAAACACCAACCATGTTCAAAATTATGTTTTCACCCACAAAACAACTTTCAACAAATGTGCAATGAAAAGAAGAAAAAACTGCCAAATATGTAAATTTTGGTTTTTAATCACAGTATTGCAATGTACATGATGAGAAGACTGTAGAACTTTAGTAATACTGTATATTCAAGTATGGTCAGCTTTGACATTGCTTTTTATCTGATGGAATCTTCATTGTGTGGAAAACATATACATTTTTTTTTTTTTTATTTAGCTTAATGTAATGGAAATCTCAACTTCAACCATATGAAGCCTTTATGAAGTACTGTGCTGCATAACCATTGTAATACATTTGTCTGTTTTGTAATATTTTATTTTAACAAGGTCCAGTTTCAGTGTTGATCCAGAGGCCTAGAAAATAGCGTAAAGTTATTTTTTCACTTTTAGCTTTTTTCAAAATATTTGGGAGCATGAAGTGCTGGACATCCATCCCATTTTCCCCATCTTTATGCCCTCCCACAAACACATCTGACTGTATCCCCCACAGCCCACTTCAAATGGCACGAGGCCGGCGTGAGTCCGCCCAGTGGTGAGTCGAGCACATTTGTAGCCATGACATTTGATCATCTGTAGGCTGGCACTGTGCATGTTACGCTCCAGTATATCTGGAAGTCACCTTCCCATACAACAAGTTTCCTAAATCAAGTTCTTGTGATGGTCTCATTACATGTAAAACAGAGTGGTCAATGGAGACATTTACAGTCATCTATTCATGAATGTATTTCTAAGGGTAAGGTGGGGGAGCTTATCAGTGACATGTTATCACAAGATCTTGGTTTTATGTATAGCTCTGCAGTTATCGATTTCTTTGGAATGACGATTCAGGTATATATTTTTGCTTGAATAAATCTATTTTTATGTCTGAATTTTCTTTCCAGCTTTTGTACCCTACATGGTAATCACCTCCTGTCTACAGTGTATCAAATATTATCATCTCTTTCAGCTTGGTAGAGGGTTGAAGGCTGTTGAATGCTTATTTGATAAAATCATCAGTTCTGAATCCAGACATTTCTCTTAAAAGTTTCTATTTGTAAATATGCAACTGAATCTTACTGAAACTTAATTTAAGGTTAAAATATTGATAATTTAATTTCTTGCTCTTATTCTAGGCATGAAATTTAAGGTGTGACGAGCCTTGTATGTATACACTGTCTGGTGTTAAATGTCTATCTCTCATCTTCTTTGTTGATCATCAGTTTAGCTTGTGTAAATACATTCAGTTGAAAGGGTTATACATTATTCTTTTTCAAGATCTGGCATGATGAGGGACTAATAACAAGTGAGAAAATATTGACGCCATACAAAGAGATGGAACCTATATCCCGCGAGGCAGGGATGCGGGTTCAGTCCCATCGTACGCCTTCAGTATTTTCTTAGATACATCACGTTCTTGTGATTTCATTCTAATAACAATTGTGTTGAGAATTGATCCTTTCTTTCCGTCAGTAGCATTCTCTTCTTAACTTATTTTAACGTGAAATTCCGTTCTTATTGCAGCTTTGTAGGTTAGAGCCTCTGCTCTTGCTTCAGTAGTATTGTGTATGTCTAGTTTTATATTTATTATTAAAGATTTAAAGTAAACAAATAAAATATATTCAAAAAGTGTCACAAAGTTTAAGTATGCTTGAAATGGGTTTTTATTTTTCGTTTTGTTCTCTTACCCAGAGAAATCTTGCTCATACTATACTGTAATTATTTGTTACCACTATAATATTTCTTACATTTTTCTTATTTTTGCATTATAATTTTGGAAAATAATAGATCATCAGTGGATTAGTTTCAAACATGAACTGTTTATGGCATGATATGTTATGTTCTATAATTTTGGCTCATGTAATGCCCCCTTCACCTCCTGAGGCCACATTGAAAACTAATTTGTATCTATTTCTTGTGGGGTCTTTATTTAGAAGTGACATTTCTACAACTTGTTTTATGTTTGTATCGTATTTTTTGGGGGTAAACCCCTCAGCAGCTTGCTGGAGGTAACAGCTGTGGCAATCGGAGCCACTTCTTCAATGCCAGGCTCCCACCACAACATTGTCCTACCAACAAGAAGTACAAGTACTAAACAAGTAGAGAACAAGCCCCTTCAAAGGGGTGGAAGAGTATGTGGTGATCAAAGCTGTACCCACATCCAAAGTGAACTAAGAAAAAATACATCTCAAAATTTAATATCTTGGGTGAAATGACTGGTCTCCCCAGAGTACCAAAACTAGTAGCTGAAACAGGCAAACACACTCCTCAACTTGTGCTACCACCAGCAGGTGGTGGTCCAGGTTACACATTATTCCGTCCTCACACCCCTCACCTGGTATTCCCCTTCCCCTTCCCTGCAACAAGTAGGCATCTACAATTATCACAATGGGTTATAATGGATAAATGGCAATTTTTTTTGTTACACTATCCAGCACTGGGGTCATGCTTTATTAATTACAATTTATATTTTGCAAGTGTGCAAGCTAGTTACCTCGAATATATCTCGGTCTCATCTACTTTAGCACTTGTTTCAAGAAGCTTTTCATTGGCAAAGCCAGTGAACCTCATTCACCATCACACTTCTCTGAGGTGTCCAGGTTCCTCATTTGGTGTCACTGCTCTTGAGTTACCCCATTGAAGGTACTACTTTGGGACTTTGTTGCCAATGCCAGACCTGTGAGAAGATGAGTCGTTAATTGTGTTATTGTATATGTTGTGTTTGGTTGTAGTTCTTACAGTAGATTGGTCTCCAGGAATGTACATGTTGTGCTTGGTTGAAGTTCGTACAGTAGCTCGGTGTCCAGGAATGTAATGTTGTGCTTGGTTGTAGCTCGTACAGTAGCTCTGTCTCCAGGAATGTATATGTTGTGCTTGGTCGAAGTTCGTACAGTAGCTCGGTGTCCAGGAATGTATATGTTGTGCTTGGTTGTAGCTCGTACAGCAGCTCGGTCTCCTCAAACTGGACGAGGTATGCGTGATGGTGCACGAGTGTCTCATGCAATCATTGTTCCTTCTCATCCTTAATCAGTCATACAGACACCAGAGGTGAAGGGGGTCCCAAAACTAGGGATTACCTAAGCTATGCATCTGTTTCCTATGGTCTGAAGGGCATGGATGGTGGCTTGCATGGCTTGCTGGACCCGTGTATGATTTGGGTTGCCACCTGGTGATGTGGCGAGAACTGGGAAGTGAATTGCTTACTTATTTTGGCTAGTACAGTACTGTGCTGTAGTTTGGTAGCTTGGTCTCCCAATCTGTTTTCTTGGAGATATTATGTTTTGTGATGTGTTTTGACTTTGTGAGTGCAATAGTTCACTATGGTAAAGTGTTGATCTTTTATCCCCACATGCTTTCAAAGGGCAAAATATTGCCTCTGATGGAGATTGTCACGGGATCGCAGCATTGTGTTGGTGGCCTCGGATGCTTGTTCAGTTATCTTTGGAAAGCTACAGAGAGGCTGGTCAATAAGGGGCATTTCATTACACATTATACTCCATTTCATTATTTTCTATATATTTTTAATTTTTTCAGTGGCACTTCTATAAATTTACCACATCACTAACTACTCTGGCCATATATATGGCATTCATGCCATATGTCAATGGCCTTATGTATATGTCAATGGCCTTTGTGTTTTTCACGTTTTTTGTAATCCTTGTCAATGCTGAATTCTTTTTCCAAATTCATGTTACATCAATACATCAAACTCAATACTATTTATCCTAAAATTCCTTCCATGTTCAAGCTGTTGCCAGCAGCCATTGGCCAATTTTCTGTTCATTTTACCTTTCATTCATTTTTTTAAATTTGTTCTATTTGCCTACTTGATTACTGTTGTGGTATTTCAGTCAAAGCACAGCATGGATCATGCGACTTGCCTGGACCGCTGTGCGTGTCTCACCTTTATTACACTTTGCACTATTGCCTTTGCTTCTTGAATACTTCCTGCTCTTCTTAACTCTTCCTTTTCATAAATATGTTTGTCTGCCATGACTTTTCCCCTGGATAAATATTTACTCCACATAGACCACGTGATGTTGTCTCGGTGCAAGAGATTACTGTATCTGAGCAGTTCATACATGTTTTAAATTTAAATCATGGCCCTTGAAGATCATATACAGCATTGTAGATTTGACCAAAAGTTCACAAGTGGCCCCTCTAATTTTTCTTTTGTTTTCCTCACTAGAAAATAGATGATGGCTATTCTTGTATATCTACTCAAGATTGGGTTTCCTACACAAATGGCTGCAGCCAGCCTGGATTTGTTTTCGGCCTAGTAATACTGAGATGTACATTAGACATTGTTTGCAAAAAGACTTCCAGCTCTTAAGCCTCATCATTTAAAATTAAATAAAGAATAGATAAACACCATATTGGAAATAAGAGATATCCGAGATATCCATAGTAGCAGTACCAGAGAGAGACCATGAGAAAATATTGAGGTCATACACTGGGACAGAAGCAGCATCCCTGGACTCCCCAGGCACATGCACTACCTACTGAACCATGAGGAGTCCAGGGATGCTGGACTCCTCATGGTTCATGAGGAGTCCAGTGCGGTGACACTATCTTCTGCCTCTTTTTCATATAGGTATCATACAAAAATCAGGCTTAGAGTTAAATTAAAATAAATTTCCTGAGCAAACCACTTGGTTGCTTGCTTAGACTAGAGCCTGGGGCCCTCAGGACACGTCTATGCACGACAGGTTAACATCCCCCACACAGGCACAATGGGGATTTTGTCACACTGTTCTTGCCATAATGCCTTGACATAATGAATCTTAGAAGACTGGAAAATACTCAATTCTGCCCATTCCAAGAAAAAACTTCCAAACTGGAAACCTAAAAGCTGACAGTTAAGAATTCTCAAAAAGAAATTAAACACCTGTCAAACATGCACATGCCTCCGACAGCTGTTTTTCCGAGGAAAACTAGTAATTTAACTTGGTTCTGGCCTCTTGCCTGCCAAACAGCCAGCAAGTTATCGTCAGTCAGATTATGTATAAGGTACAGTAGCTCGAGTCAGGATTCTGTGTGTTGGTTGCTGCTTCCTGGTGAAGGTCAAAAGTAATGGTTAAGCAGGGCAATGAAAATTTTACAAAAATTCTAGTTAGTTGCCCTTGGGTTGCTAATAAGTGGTGTTTGGAATGGCAGGGAGTTTCTTGGCAGTTATTTGCAGGCTTGATTGAGTATTCCCCAATATCAGCAGAGAAAGTTTGAAAAGATCCATTTTGTATCGGTCTACACTGAAAACCTGCGTTTACTGTGCATAGACCCATCCTAGGGCAAGAGATGTGTGCCTTGGGGAACAGCTGTGTTGCATAGTTTAGAAACCATATTGCATTTTATTTCATTCATTTATTTAGTAATTATGTATAGACTTCCAGGCTTGGCACTTTCTTTTGATAATTAATTAATAATTATGTACAGTATATTAAAATAATAGTATACAGTATAGCAGGAATGTTCTTAAAAAATATAGATTTAATAGTTTTAGATTGTATTTCACCGTATTATATGTACAGAGAATCTTAATCTTTTTCTTTTTAAATATTGCTAGATAATGACTGGAACTGAACATTAAATACAATATATAATTTGACCACTGCTGTGAGACAAGTGTACCATTTCTAAAAAGATACGAGTGTATGTACATCAATGTGTTCTGTGACTGTTTCATGATGAAAGTAATATATTGTTCACAATATATTTTACAATCTTAGGTCATGATTGGGAAGACCCAGATGACCCGACAGTTATTGCTGAAAATGAACTCATTGGTGCTGCCAACTCCATTGATGCGGCAGCTCGTAAACTTATGATACTTCGCCCACGTCGAGCAGAAACTAAGGTAGTGTAATTTCTTTTATATGTTGTTCCATGTATACTATTTTATAATACAGTATATATTATTTAAGAGAGATAATGTTTGATTGGACTAGGTTCCTGTACTTATACTGAAAAGATGAAGCCAAATGCAGTGTAAGATTTGATAACATAATGATTCACCAACTATGAAGCACAGCAACATGTGATTACATACAGTACATGTGGTGAGTGGTTGAAACATTCATATAATTACTCACATAACAGTATTGATATAAAAAAGCCTGTGCGTGTGGTAATTTCTAAAGAGTTGTGCACAGTATTGTAAATACTACACACAATATGTGCCATAAAGCTGTGCCATTATAGTAATTGTTCAACAACCTTCCACATACAACTTACTATGAAGTAATTTAATAAAGTAAGCTACTATGCTTGGTTGTTACCAAGTTGTTTAAAGTTTGGCAACTTATAAAATTAGCAAGAACCGTATTTGCTGGCATATAAGACACGCTTTTTTTATTTTTAAATGTATCAAAAAAATTGCCCTACATTTAATGTGGCTGTCATTAAATAAATCCATAAATCCAACTTTATTGGATTGTGGACAATCCACAATCCAATCCACAAATCTTTCAATAAATGTATGATGAAACATATTAAAATAGTTTTTGAAACATATTAAAATAGTTTTTTCCACAAAATAGCCTTGTAAAATAGGGTGTGTGTCCTATACGAAGGTGCGTCTTTTACGCTGTCAGATACGGTAATTAGAATGTGATGAGTGTGTGTGTGTGTGTGTGTGTGTGTGTGTGTGTGTGTGTGTGTGTGTGTGTGTGTGTGTGTGTGTGTGGCAAGATCTGTCTCAGAAGTGATGCTGCGTGCTTGCTCCCTCTAGTTGTGTATTGCTCGGTGGGCTCTTGTGACTAATACAAACACAAACTGACAGTGTAATTAAATTTGGGAACTGAAGCAGTCTGCATTGAACATTATTGGTTTGGAAGGATACGAGTTATTGTTGAAAATTATCCTTCTTGATTTTCATGGGACATTGAACTATTTGTTTGTTTAATTTGTGATTTGAAAAAAAAAGTCTTAAGCTGTTTGAAGCAACATTTTTATTGAAGAGTACTGTATTTCATATGACACTGTACCTATAGGTTATTTTTAAATTGTACTTATGTTTTAATAAATTTACGGCTGGCTAAAGAACAATCCAGTTTTCACAATGGCATTCCCAACTATTCACAGAAACAGTATCTGAAGCTCTATATGCTTTGTGGTCAGAATTTTACAGAGGTTAAAATGTTAAAACTTGCTGTATTTTCTATTATCCTTGACCCTCTTTTGTTGTCGTGTTTGTTTTAAGGTGATGCTTCACTCCTCTGTGGAAGTTGCTTTGTCCCAATGGTGAACTACTTGATGAGGTGGGGCTCATCTTGAGTCATCTTCTAGGCATTGAAGTAATACTTGTAGCATCTTTTTGAAGGCTTATATACATACTGGTTTGTCCATCACAAGTGTGAAGCAGGTATTGCAGTTTTCTCTGAGAGGATAACATGATTATAATGAAGTGTTAGCTTTATCTATAAGTCATGTACAGTATTTAGCAAAAGAAAGATACACACTCACATAGTAGCACTAAAGCCATGGAAAGTTGAACTTATAAGCATTCATTTTCCTGAGGGTTTGCCAGTTCTGGCAGACTATAATGTTCATGTCTTTCTTCACTCTATGTTCAAGCTCATCTTATACTGTATTTCTTTTATTGCAAAATACTGCTAAATTGTAAGTAAAATAATATACATGTATAAGCATTTCTTTTGTGTTCAAATCAAAATAAATAAATAAATAAATGCCTATCAGTTAAATTACTGTGCTGTAATTTATATACTCAGATTTTTAGTTATTTTAATAAAATGTTATTACATTATTCTCATATTGTAGTAATTAGTCTGAAGAAAATATGTTAGCCATGTTAATCACACAATGAATGTGTGATGAGGTTGAAGAGACACTGTGCACCGCGTATCATCACCACAGAGCAAGACTGTCATTAGTGCTGTGAGATATGTTTGATATTCTTGGTTGTTGATTGGCTTCGACTAAGAATCAAACATATTATCATAGCACAATGAATCTGCAACACTGGAAGACAGAGCAACCAGAGCAAGTACTCTTACTGAAGAAAACTGAAGTGAACAAATTCTGAAGCCTGTCTTGATACATGCAGAGACTGTAGACATGTTAAGAGAGTTATTCAAACTTGGCTGCTTTGTAATTAATTTGTTCAATATTGTAGTAGACAATAAAGTTTGCTGGACATTGCCTCTAGGTAGTTGTTTGTAATTGATAGTTTATCACTCAAGTCCTTGCTGAACGTTGCTTCCATCGGAGAAGCATATGCTGTATTGCTCGCAATTTGTATTATTATGTTCCAATTATCTTCTTATCCACTATGCGGTATCATACAATTAAAACTTATTTTTAGTTTAGTGTTTTGCTCTTTATGAGCAGCCATAATAACTTTGTTGTAAAGTTTAATTTAGTTCTCACTTAACCATAGCCACATCTGTCGTTCAAATTCTGTACAGTGCCCCTTTTTTGCTGGGTCATTAATTTTTATTCTTGTTACAGGAAGTTGACGAGTCGATGAACTTTGATGATATCATCTTGGAAGCATGTAAATCCATTGCTGCTGCAACTGGAGCCTTAGTAAAAGCTGCATCCACAGCACAGAGGGAGCTAGTTGATTCTGGGCGTGTGCGCCGCCGACCTACTGCCGCTTCAGATGATGGCCAGTGGTCTGAGGGCCTAATTTCTGCTGCTCGTCTGGTGGCGGCAGCAACTCACTCTCTTTGTGAGGCTGCCAATGCATTGGTTCAGGGACAAGCTAGTGAGGAGAAACTAATCTCAGCCGCTAAACAGGTTGCTGGCTCGACGGCACAGTTGCTTGTTGCTTGCAAGGTAAAAGCAGATCCTGATTCCAGTGCAACAAAGCGCCTCCAGGCAGCTGGCAATGCTGTAAAACGTGCCACTGATAATTTAGTTCGGGCTGCTCAGCAAGCCATTGAAAATGAAGAGGAAGTCACAGTGGTTGTACCAAGCCGTAAGGTTCCTAACATGTCTCAGATTATTGATGCTCGAGCAAGATTTTATGAACTACAGAGACAAGCAGATTTAGCAAGAGAAACACTGAAAATTCTTCAGATTAGCCAATATAAGGATGGCAGCGAATCAGGGCTATCTGATACCGATCAATCTGGATATGATTCCTCCTCAAAGTAAGTAAAAAATTTCTTATTTTAATAATGGCATGATTATTTAAATGTTTTTTCACAGATGTGCAGTATTAAAGCAGTCTATGTAACTACATATTTTTGCAAATGGGTATCTCAGGCAAGGCATCGTTTCAAAGTTGATACTGTACTTTGTGTACCGGCTTAAAACTAACATTTATGTAGGATAAAAACCTACACTTGTATATTTGTGAAATTTATGTAAGGAATTTACACCAAATCTCTCGCACTATCCTGAGTGCTTTGTCGAGGTCTGAGTGTGTGTGATTAGGATGAGACTCGAGTCTCAATGTCTAATGAGGCTGCTATCCTGGATCCAGTCCTCTTATCCTTCTTGACCATGTCACCTCTAATCTCGACTGTTGATGGCATACCACCTGCATACCACTACCACATACCACACCATAACACTTCCCATACTTGAGCTTAGGCCTAGCATATTTTAGCACAAAACTCATTAACTAATAACATGTTTCATTGTTCATTTGATAACATAGGTTAGAAACAAATATAAGCTGACATTATATCACAATGTATATTAAACATGCACATTTAAATGGTAATCTAGATCTGTTGTTCTGTTTATTTTAACTACACGTAATTAATTTTTACAGATATGACTCGTCATATGAAAAATCAGGAGTAATCACCTCAACCCGTGCGATTAAGGTGAACTATAAGCCAGAACCTCCACGTCCTCAGCTTTTGAATCAATCGTACACGACAACTTTCAACTCCACTCCAAATCGTTCCCATCTCACTTCTGCTCAGATTACTCATTCTTTTAGACCATCACAGAACCAAGCAAATGGTGGAACAGCATCATCTGACACTTCTTTCAATCTGTCAAGAATAAGCGATAGTGCGGCAGAGTTTGATGACGGACCGACTTTCAAAGAAGCTCTACGAACATTCCAGAAGGATGGAAGCTCATCTGTCACAACCTCGTCCAATGTCCAAAACAGATCCAGTAGATCAGTCACTGAATCCAAGCAGATCCTCACAAGCTCCACACAGCAAATTGAGCGCACCATGCACATGACCAGCTCAAATAAAAGCTATCACGTAGAAGAGAGTTGAAACAAATACTCTCTGCATTTACAGTACTGTTTTAGATGCTATGATGTATGCATCATAGCTATGATAAATATATATGATGTATAGCTGTCACCTGGCTATGATAAATGGCCAGGTGTGGCTGTTTAATATCCTGACATAATCTTTGTTGTCTAAGAATATTCTATTTTGTGTAGATGAACATTTAACATATTACATATATATCAGCATATATACTGGTGCAGTAACTACAAGTTCTATGTCAGGCTTAATGTTGCTTTCACCCAAGTGCTTTTGTGTCTGCATTTAAGATAGGTAACCCAGTTGGTAATGGTCTATAGGGACTCTTGGTGCCTTGAAGTGTCCATCCAGAAACACCCAGCCCAGGTATGTATAATAGAAACTGGGACTCCTGCCTTAGTACTGGAAATTTTTAGCCTGTAATTGTCAGGTATTTAATGGCTTTTTAATGTAATTTGTCATTACCATAATGCTGTAAATCAAATTAAATAATTTGTTAAGATAAAAATTGACATGAAGATTTGTGATTAAAATTAATATATTAATTTTTATTTAAACTTTAAGAGATGTGATTTTTTAAACCAAATATTTTAAAGTGTATAAATTGGAATGTTTTAAGTTTACATTATTCAAACTATTTCCGATAGATGTAAACAATTAATAATAGCCCGGCAATCTTGTTATTTAACATTTTGGTGCTGATATTTTTGTTCATATAATAGTCATATTAAACATATCATAATGTACAGTTGTGTTGTATGCCACTGTAATCTAGCTTAGTACAAAGAAGGTAAACTGGAGAAAGGGAGAATTATAATATTGAGAGAGATTCATGCAAGAATTGCTTTTTCTGCATTGTATTTTCTCTTTGATCTTAATGTGACAATATTTTCTTAAATATAAAACTTTTTAGAGTTGCCACTTACTACGAGTACTGTAATAAATAGCACTACATTGTTATAAAATGTTATGCTTGATTCTCCCTTTCTCTTTGCACTGCTCTCCACCTTCTTCATGCGAGCCCACTCCAGTAAATCCGTCGCAAGTTATACAGTGCCTGGGGTCATGAGATCCTTGTGTCTTACCATCTAATTTGTAATATATAATAAAAGTGTGTTTAAAAAAATATGTTGTATTTATGATGACTTACCCTCTATGACAATTGATCTTAATAAATTCCATATTACAAATGTTGGTTAAAAGTGTCTTATGCCCAATAAATAAAATAAACTAGAAGCTCTAGTTTTATTTCCTATTTCTATAATTACCCTCTTCTGTAATACTCCACTAGTATCAATGCTAGAGACTAATATCTGAAAGGAAAAAAAGTTGTTTGAAACTTTCTTAAAGAATTCGTGCAGAATTTCCTTAACCTTGTCATTGAACTAGTTCTCACTTAGCTGTTGTCTCAGTTTTGAATAAAGATGATCATGTGTTTTGTGCTGACACTTGAAGTGAGAAAGACCAATGGTGATATAATCAGGGAATATAAGATACAATATTAAAAGGAATATTTTTTCCCCAGAGCACCTAATAGGTTAACACTTTATGCAGATCCAAAGTTGGATCTCGCAATGAACTGCCAGTTCATTGCGAGAACATAGGCAATGTATTAATAAATAATTGGGGGTAATGGCACTACAATTAACTGGATACTAAAACTAACGAGAGGTAATGAAAATAATTCTAATCTCGGGGAACCATAAGTTAGTTATTGTTGCAGCCTATTTAAGATGTAGACCAGTGACATGGTGTATGATCACATTATAATTAAATTAAATAACATGATCTAGGATAATTGTACAACTAATAATTACAGTAGAATAGTCAATTTGTGAAACAGAAGGCTACTACATAACTTAATCTTATAAAATTCAGAAATTAATGATAACCAAATGAGTGTGGACTGTACAAAGCAATGTGTGGTCCATGTTCTACCCAAGCATCACCAAGAAGTTGTTCTTTGATAAAGATTTTTGTCAGGAATTCAAACTTCCAGATAAATTATGCAGAGTCCTTACCTAATAAACAGTCAGTAATAGTTGCTAGAGGCGAGATCGAGAAGGAATAAATGGTACTAGTGGAATCACAAATATTGCTCAATGAGAGAGCCCTAGTAGCCACCGTTGGTTGAAAGCGATCGACATGACGTGCTAAACAGTATGTAATGTCGGTCGCTTTCAACTAACTGTGCCCACTGGTACAGTACAACAGTGTATGTCATGCCCTATTAGTAAAAATTACCAGATAAGTAATAAATAAGTTAAATATTTGATTTACAATACTGACTAATATTATTCACCAGTCAACTAAGCATTAATGATCACATTACAAAATCCTCCAGAGGTGGAATGAAGTCTGGAGAAGGAGCTATTAGCTCTTTGACCATCCATGCCTCTCACCCTTCAGGCAATTGGTGTACAGGTTTCTGAGCCAATGGGTCTCTGTCATATCTACATTTGAGGCTGTATATGGAGTTTGCAGCCACTATTTTGCTTAATCTTCATCAATCGTAAGAGTGACGGGCACGCTCCTGTGCCAGGTAAGTTACGGGCTCACCATAGCCCGTGCTACTTGGAACTTGTTCTGAGTAACTGAATCTATAATAACAACAACTTAGAGAGTCATTATGTGGTATTCATGCCCATGCCAACTCTTGTGTGTGGCTAAATCTTTATCAATCAATCAATCTTAGAGACACGGGAGACATCTCCCGTCACCCAGGGTGGTCCCACCTCCACAGATCTCCAGTATCGGGTCCATAGAATTACCCAAATCGGCCCAAATCGGCCCAAAACTACACAAATCGTCCTAGCATTACGTAAGTAATGAAGAAATATGGTATATTTACTTACTATAATGTTGGTGCTACACGTAGAACATGATCAAACCTAATTTTACTCTGAAATAATCTAATTTCATAACGAAATGAGACGTAAATATGTGAGAGGTGACGCCATAGGAAGTCGACGGTCCAAGCGACAATTATGTGGAGCGACTTATCCAAGATATATGATCGCCTGGAGAGTGTTTGCTGCCATAACAGCCTCCTGTACACAGTGATCCAGTCGTCGTACATACATGTATGTATGTGTGTACATGTGTATACAACATTAATAATTTTGTAACTAGCGTCAAACACTGTTACTTGCTTAGCTAACCGAACTAGAGGGTTCAGTTCCTGAACCGATTATGTGCCTCTGTAATTCTTTACACCACCGCCCACGGGATGGGTATGGGGTGCATAATAAAGAAAGAAATAGAAGAAATTGAAATTGCATAATACGGTTATTGACATTCAATAATAGTAAGATAAGTTTTGATATTAAGTTTTTAAGTAAGATAAGTTAAGATAAGTTTTAAGTAAGACAGTTTTGATATTCCTAGAGTACGACTTAATCAAACTAGAAATGCTCTACAAATCAAGGGGCCCAGAATGTGGAATGACCTTCCCAACCATGTTAAAGACTGTACCTCTCTCAACCAGTTTAAGTTAAAAACGAAGCTATACCTAATAAATTCCCTGTAACCTACCTTACCCTTCTATTGTCAACCAATGTCTGTTTTTTTTTTTTTTTAAGAGCGCTGTTTGTCGACATAATTGTATTTGTGCTGCTTTTTCATCTATGTTTTCATTTCTTGTTTTCATTCTACTCATTATCCTCAATTAGTATTAAGCTTGTCATTTAAGTTTATCATGCCCGAAACGCTTTGCGTAATAGTGGCTTTAGGCATTGTATGTACTAGCTCTACCTATAAGTCAGCCAATCTTTGTAAAAATTTATTGTATGTATGTACCTTACCTAAATAAACATTTTTTTTTTTTTTTTTTTATAAATCAATGAGGACCAAATGGGAGACCAGTGATCAGATGAATATTACAGACTCAAGAGTAGCCTTCTCTTCTTGTATATAAATGAAAAATAAATTCGTTTGTTTAATTCTAATGCTTGTAGGCGAGAACAGGTGTGAACGCCAGCTAGCGCACAAGTACATGAGCGCCCAAAATACTTTTACACAAAAGACATGTACAGACAGGCGTGTGGCTTCTGACTTCTTTTTTATTGATTAATATTAAATATTAGGCGCTTACCTATAATAGTTATCATTTTATGTAAGTATAACTATCACATAATAAATATAAAAGAAGTTTATCAAAAAACTGACAGAAGTGTTGTGTTTTGTGCGTTGTATCGTGTTTGTGGGCATTCGGGTGTGTTGTGTTTACGCTGGCGGGCGGCGTCCTTACCAACTCCGGATTATGTCTATTATTTTTTTTTTTTTTTTTTTTTTTTTGAGATATATACAAGAGTTGTTACATTCTTGTACAGCCACTAGTACGCGTAGCGTTTCGGGCAAGTCCTTAATCCTATGGTCCCTGGAATACGATCCCCGCCGTGAAGAATCGTTTTTTCATCCAAGTACACATTTTACTGTTGCGTTAAACAGAGGCTACAGTTAAGGAATTGCGCCCAGTAAATCCTCCCCGGCCAGGATACGAACCCATGACATAGCGCTCGCGGAACGCCAGGCGAGTGTCTTACTACTGCACCACGGAGACTGCTTGAATCACTAAACATCATTTAATAACTATATGCCTGTTAAATAGAAGATTTTAATTGTTAATAGCATTATGTATGTTAATAGCATTAGCATGTACAAGAATGTAACAACTCTTGTTATATTGTCGTTTTGATATGGAACACGTACACATATGCGAAACGTCTAAAGCTGGTGTCCGAAGTAGTAAAAATATTAGTGTGCGATGTTGTCAATGTACGGAGTGTCTTGTATCCGAGTCCATAGGAATTACCGTTTGTCCTGGTGCCATCTATGTTTTGACAGCATTACTATTAATGTTCCCACGTTATGTGATGATAGCTATACGGGTGTTACGGTCAGTTGCTCTTCTATATATGTTTATGGAGAACGTAGGTGATTTGAGGCAATTTGCGGCCTGAGTGAAATAGTATCCACGCGGTGAGTGATGGAGGAGGATATATACTGCTGTGTACTCGACCAGCGGGTGAGAGGTAAGTTATATCGAACAATTATGGGGAATAGATGGGTTATCTTAAGCGTAGAATGTCAGGTAACCGGTAACTACACAGATGGGGTAGTGTTTTTTAAGTCTTTATTGACTAAAGTGGAACATTACATTATGCCTTTAGCTGAACAAGTCTACTGGTGGGGGAAGTAGACGGGTTTTATGAAAGTATTTTACCTAAATTTGTATTTGGTCAACTAGTTCAGCAGTTACCAGGGAGGGTGTTCCTTTAATTTAATCTAAAAATTCTAGCCGGACAGTGATTAAATAAATTGAATAGAACGAAGTGGTTTGCCAGGGTGCTTGACATTTAGTTTAGTTCACTTGCTATGCAGCCCATGCTTAAAGAATGCAAGTTTATCATATTGAATTTACCGTAGTTTTACTTCATTTAATATACCGTTTTTACCCTATTTAATTATGTCGGGTAAAGGCCGGTCGTGGAAAGTTCCTAATATAGCAAGTTTTAAAGGAAAAGTTTGAGTTAACTTTAACGCTTACGTTAGTGACCAATTAGCTTAGTCTATTGTGAGGAAAGTTACTAGAATCTAACATTGCAAGTGCCATTTCTCTACTCTTTTTGAGAAACATGACTAGATACATGAATCGCATAATTTTATTACTAAATGTTCATGGATTAGGTTGCATAGTTGAGGAAATGGTGATGATAAGGTTTGTGATTGTGTACCTTGACTTCAGCAGAGATTTTGATAGTGGCGCAAAATTGATAGGGGCTCGGATCATTGGGAATGCTGACTGAAGTTGATTAGGTCGTGGCTATACCAAAGAAAATTAGTATAAATGGGGTTAGGTTGGGAGAAGTGTTGTAAGTAGTGCCTAAAAGCTCTCCTTGGACCTCGGTTATTCGCAAGATTATGGTTTAGACTGCAATAGTTGCAGAATTGGCAAATAAAAAATACCGATGCCCTATATAGTTTTGAAATGGTAAAGACTACCAGATGCAGTTTAATGCTGACAAATGTAAGGTTTTGGGGCTAGGTAAAGAAGAGATAGTTGTAGATTGTTAAGAGTATTAAATTTTTTGCAGGTGGTAAATTCTCCCCGAGCTGGCACTGCTCTCCAGCCTGGGATGTTGATTGGTTAGTCTTCAACTGCCTCCCAACATGGTAGTGAGGTCCTGAGCTGACATGCAGTGAGGAACGTGGAAAGCTTCCTGAATTGGCACATG